TCTGATGGGTGGTCAGTGTGTGTGCAGCTCAGCAGATGGTGTGCTTCCTGGTCTCAGGGGACAGGGAGCCCCAAGGCACTGGCCAAGGCAAGAAACACCAGGGGCGGGGTGGGGCGTGGGGGGATGGGTTAGCCCGGTGATGGGTATTAAGGAGGACACGTTCTGCGTGGAGCATTGGGTGTTATACGCAAACAATGAGTCATGGAACACTACATCAAAAACTAATGATGTAATGTATGGTGACTAACATAATAAGATTAAAAAAAAGAAACACCAGGGGCTCCTACCACCCTTAGGAGAGTTACCCAAATAGATCAAAGTACTAGTGTTTCTTGTGATAAACTGATAGGCGTGAGGTTTTTATTAAATTTTAAGAGATTTAAGTTTACACATCACATTTTTTAAACATTTTTAAAAGATTTTATTAGAGCACAAGCAGGGGGGAGGGGTAGAGGCAGAGGGAGAAGCAGACTCCCAGCAGAGCAGGGAGCCCAACAGGGAGTCTGGGATCATGACCTGAGCTGAAGGCAGACGTTTGACCCATTGAGCCACCTGGGGGGCCCTACACATCACATTTTGAATATCAGTTCTCCAAAAGATAAGACGACACAATGCATTGCTGATCCATCTTCATACTCTGAGAATCACTGCTGAAGGAACAGAGGAGGGGGGGCGCCTGGGTGGCTCAGTCGTTAAGCGTCTGCCTTCGGCTCAGGTCATGACCCCAGGATCCTGGGATCGAGCCCCGCATTGGGCTCCCTGCTCAGCAGGAAGCCTGCTTCTCCCTCTCCCACTGCCCCTGCTTGTGTTCCCTCTCTCTCTGAAATCAATCAATCTTTCAAAAAAAAAAAAAAAAGGAACAGTGAAGGGTGATAATGTCCCAAAGTTTCGTTACTAAATACCAGTCCTTGGAAGCTCACCAGTAACATGGCCCAGCCTTGGGTTCTAGAACCTTGGACAGGAGGAGCTCTAAGACAGCTGAAGCCGTTTGTGAGCTGCCCTACAGTGTTATTGCCCTGCACACACAGGAGGGTTGCCGTGTTTTCTGCGCGTGAAGACCATCGTCCCTTTAAGATGACAGCCTCCGACGGCGCATGCTCTGTGTACTCTGCCTGTTGCCCTTTAGAATCAAATCCCTCTTTTGCCCTCACTTAAAGGTCGACATTCGGGTTCTATCCTCAGCCTTCTCTAATTCCATACCTTGGCGTTACGTTTGTTTTGAGTGGCTTTTTCAGATGACATCTGCCTGTCCTCGGAGATTCTGACAGCCTCGCGGGCCTTCTCAGAATAAAGGAGGTCAGATAATAGCACCATTCTTCCTCAGGTTTTAAACAAATGGTAAACTAGGACACGGTGTCAGTGGACAGAAGCCAAAAGCTGCATCTTTTGATGAAGGCTACTTGACACTTGCCGAGGGTGAAGAGTGACCGTGGCGTTGGGCCAGGGCAGGCCTCCCCCAGGCCCGGGTGGGGTGCAGTGGAGGAGGGGGATTCTAGTGCTTCCTGGAGGAAGGAACTAACTCCAACACGCCCAGCTCATTCTTCCGCAGCGGGCCATTCACACGCGCGCCTTGCCCCCGGGGGAGGGAATATGAGGGTAGAGAGAGGCCCGAGCGTGGTGCTGAAGGTGGGCCCGTCACGGGGAAGGAGACGCTGAGAACAGAACAGAGCATTCAGCGTGTGTGCTCCCAGACTTGGGGCTTGTCTGCTGCGGAAATGGATGCAGACCTCGCGGTGCTGGGGGGAGCAAAGGCTGTGCTTCGGCACAGCTCCCGGGGATCCCCACATACCCACTGAATTCGGCCCTTGAGTATGACCGGTCCTATCTTCCTGAGAGCTGCCTCCGAAAGGTGTTCCCAAAGCTTAGCGCCATGTAAGACGGCCCTTGGGACCTTCCAGCCTTCTGGGCAAGCTGCCTGTCAGACCCTCTTCTTGGAGAGTCTGCGGGCATCTAACACCGATCCCCAGACTGACCCAGTGCCCTCACTGTCCACGCTGCACTTGGAGTTTCCGCCCCATTTCTGCCTCTTCTGTGAAAGCTTCCCTATCCTCAGGGGGCAGCAATCACATTGTATTGCATTTTTGCTTACCCACCTCCCCTCCTGCCTGTGAACTCCCAGACGTCTTTTTGTCTCCCTACCTTCAGTGGCCAGGCCAACACCTGGCACACGATAGGCACCCAATGGGTGTTTACTGAATGGATGAAAATGAGCCAGCAGGCAGGTGGCTTGGCTTCCAAGCCATGGGGATTTCTGCATACGGACTGAAGTTCTCCTTCGGCAAGTACTCGTATTTTCCTGTGGCCATCAAAGAAACAGATATTGACATTTCTAGCAACTCTTTGAATTATGATATAATTATTATCCTGGGAGGTGATTTCACTGCTGCATTTAAAAAGGTTCTGGGAAGATGGTCACGATTGCAATTGCACTTGGTCCCACTGGGTGTCGCTGTTGTCACTGCCAAGAGAAGATGATTGTCCCGCTGTGGAGTCCGGTGCCTTCTGGCCTGCAGGTCAGTCTGTCTCCTTCCTTTTGACCTCACTCCCTTCCCCAGCACCCTACCCGACGCCTAGTTTGGAACGTCTACATTCGGGGTTTGTTTGAACCTCCAAATGTCAAGCCTTGGGGAGAGGCAAGGGAACTGCCCATCCTACTGTAGCCCAAATCCTTTTTGCTCTCAAGTTCTTGATTTGTTCTAGCCAGTAGAGATTAGAGAACGTCTGATCACCTTTGTTGAGTCTGAAAGTCCTTACTTTAAATCAGATTGAATTCCTCATGTTTCCTTTATAAGAACAGGCCAGAGAAACCTCTCACCCTTTCCTCCAGGGCTTCCAGGTTCTTAATCCCCTGCCAGTGTTCCTTCTGGGACCCTCCTCGCAGCCTCCGGCACAGCACCGCCCCTCTCTGGAGACCACAGTCGTGGACACGGTCTGACCGCCCCTCAGAGGGAGAGGCTGAGAGGACTTCGGGGAGCCTGGGGCTTACTCTGGTCCTCTGACCATTTGGCTGCCTACACTTTTTCTCACTCTGTGCCTTTGTTTCCCCAGTGCCTGGCCAGCTCCGCATGTTCCAAAGACGGGTGTCTCAATGTGGGGGGATGACGGAGTGCAGGTGACTTTTCCCTTTTTTTCATAAATGCTTCAGGGTTGTTTCATTGTCTTTTCAGTAATAAAGGTTGATGTGCTAGGAAAACATTTAAGAGGGTGGCAGTCCAAGGTCAGGGCTACATTTCCCCACCTCCATGGGAATTTAACCGTATTCTACAGGCCTCATCAATCTTCTTCCTCCACCTAGCACGCAGGGAACCCCTTCTCCGGTTTCTTTTAGTCTCTGGCTGTTTTGTCTTGTTCAGCTAACTGTGGCTTATTTTCTATTCGTTCTCTCCACCATCTCAATTTAAAGTTTTCCTCCAAGCAGTCCACCTGAGGGGAATCGTCCACACAAAGTTCCCATTAAAACAAGGGAAGGCACACATGCTAGGTTATGGAGCCCTATTCTGAGCCAGGCCCGGAGTGGCCGCTTTCACCACACCGTCCCCCGCAGAACTCCTCTCAGCCCCACGCGCGGCCTCGGGGGCCCCCCGCGAGGAAACGCGCTAACAGGGTAAGGGTGGTTGTCGACATCGGGGCGCAGCGCTCCCAGACTCCAGGAGCCGCTCCGGCAGGGGCACTTCAAGGCGCAGGGGGGACGTGGTCTCCCCCGACAACACCCGAGGGCTGCACAGAACACACCACCTGACCTTCCAGCGCCCTCTTCCTGCCTCATGGTGTAACTGGATGAACTCACGGACGCCCTAGAACTTACATGCCACCATTCTCTGAACGATGGGGTTGGTTTGTTTATTCTGCAGCTTATTCTGAGGAGACAAGAGGACTTATTTTAAAAAATTATCTTGTGAAAAATGAGTAAATGTGTTTACATATTTGCTCAGAAGCTCAGTCCTCTTGGAAAGGCAGAACATGAAGTGAAGGAACACTGTCTTGGGAGCTCAGGCTGCTTTGGGAGCTGTCGCCTGTCCTCCGCGCAGACGTTGTCCCTCTGCAAGGGGCCCGGACACGGCGAAGGCAGGGTCTCCAGGGCGCCCCTCTTAGCCCTGCACAGCTCCCTTTTGCGGACGTTGATGAAGACTCTCAGGCGGCCAGGGCAGGGGAGCCCCTTCCCAGTGTCCGCGTCCCCGTGCTGGGCGACCCATCGTCTGCCAGAGCTCACCTCCCTGCCCTCGTGGAGAGGGGCCGGGGGCCGGGGAGGGGTGCACCGGGCCGGCTTCTCTCTTCAGTACTGCCGGTGACGGTGCTTAGTTATCCCGAGGCTCGGTGTATGTTCTCACCTTCGTCCCACTTGGGTCCCCGGGTCTTTGCTCCTCCCACAGCCCTTCTCCCAGGACGCCGCTTGCAAGCTGGCGCTGTTTTGCTCTTACTCTTCTCATAAATTTAGGAGGAAATCGAACTTGTTCTTGAATCTATGGTTTTATCAATAGTGGGGACATGAAAGGCCTAGAATGCCATTTTAAAAATCAGAGAAAGCAAATTTCTTTGTGGAGATGAAGCACTTTTCACACCTGGTCAGTGTCCCTCATCTCTGTCCCCCCTGAGGCAGAGGCTGCAGGAGTGGCTTCTGAAGCTCCAAGCAGGTGTGTGGGGGGCTGCTTGAGCCTAGAAGAAAGAGGCCGTGCATTTTTCCGCCAGGCCCTTAGCCCTGGACGTGTGAACGCCCCCCCCCCCCCCAAGAGGCTGGCTAAGTTCACACACTGATAACACACCCTGTTAGCAGTTCTTTGCTGAAGAATCAACGTGTGTGTACTAACAGTGGGGATTTCAGGATGCTGGGCTGTGTCCGTCATTTCTTCCTTCTCTTGCTCATGTGTATTTTGTGTACAGACATATAATAGTAGTAAAATAAGAAAGTTATTGGAAAAATAGAAGTAAATTGTGTAGCTTTTATTTTTGTGGAAACTGAACAAAAAACATAGATATTTAGAAAAAAACTTAAGAGGCAAACGTTGAGGGGCATTTTTTATTATAAATTTAATGTGGTTGATTAATGAAAAAATCACAATGAAGTACCAAGAAAACGTTTGTCAATATAAAAATTTTAGCAGCATTTCCATAGTTTCAGGCTCTAACATTAGTCATACTTCCTCCCTCCCGCTATCAAAAAAGAATCCAATGGGACTACAGTAGAGCATCAAGATGTTCAGCTTAGTAAAGGCCTCAAGGAAATCCTCAAATCCAGTGTATTGTCTAATATTTCAACTCTCCCTGCTCCTGAACTTCTAGAATGTCAAATCACTCGCCTTAGTGTCTGAGACAAGAATTCTGTTCTTCAGGCTGCAGGGGGAGAAGAGGGGTGAAAATTTAAACTGGACTTGATATGTGGTGCTTGATCACGCATCCTTACATACGTACACTCTCTACGCGGACGACGATGAAGGGCCACTGCGGGGTTCACCAGTATCTGGCATGTGGCAGCAGTGGGGGTGGGGTGGGGTAGGGGACCCGAAGTAGGCCCCGCACATGCTGGGGGCTGGGTTGGGGGGGCTGGTGTTTCAGTATCTGCACTGCTGAGGGGCAGGCCGGAGCCTGGCGGTCTCCCTACAGCATAGGCTAATGGTAGGATTAATGAGAAGGGGAGACAGACAATATGAAAATATAATACTGGCAAACTATTCCCCTGCTTCTTTGGTACTTTCCAAAATTCTCTGATCAAAAAAGTATAGGGAAGCACACCATTAAAAAATTACAGTTTTAAGTATTTACAGAAGCAATTATGATATATTACAGAATCAATACACAGTATATGAACAGATTCCTCAGTGAAAGCACTTGTGAACTCCTACCCTAGTATTATTCAAGAGCACACCCATGGACCTACACCTGCCCAAATGGGCATCATCCATCCCAATTCTCGCTTATCTTACAGTATATTCAATGGGGAAAACATCACTTTCCAATCTACACTTTACTTTTAAAAGGTTCTTAAAATTTGCCACTGAAATCATGACATACAAAGATTTGTTGAACATTGAATTCTAGGCAATATATATCTCCACTCCCATTTTGAGTATGTCTGAAATAATGCTATGTATTCTATGTATACAATATATATTTAACAGATAAGTAACCGCACCACGTTATGTCACCACGATACCAGTTTAATGCACATGATTATGTACAGTAGTTAAGTTAGCTCTGGAGGATGACTCTCTACAGTGTAGGTGAGCAGTGTGGTTCGGAACCTTAGGAAAGGGACACGGAGAAGCTGGTGGGGGACAGCCCGTGCATGGGCATGACGCATGCCACACGCCCCCCCCCCACGTCCCCACACCAGACTACCCCTTGTGCGCTGGGTGGAAGAAGACAAATCACACATATGGAAGGATCCCGTACATGAGGAGAGCCATGATAGCAGCACTGAACAACCCAGCCACGGGAACAGTCACAAACCAGGCCACAAAGATGTTCCGGAAGAGGCGCCAGTCCACGGCCTTCCGGGAGCGGATCCAGCCCACAGCCACCACCGAGCCCACCTGTGGGAGTACAGACATTTCAAAGTGAAAACGGAGGCCCGCAAATATAAAGGTGAGACATAGACTCTACATTCAACCATTGTAAACTGGCTAATCTCAGACGTAAACTGCATTATAAAATTACCAATTCTTTCCCCTCAATTTGTTAAAAGTTTTTAAAATAATTTAGATTTTAGGTATAACTACTTTAGGATTATTCTACTCAGCATATAGTTCCGATATACTTTTCCACGTATATTCTGCTCTATTTGAGTGGAACGTTAGCCAATTATATGTCTTCTCTTCTCTCTGCACCTTATAAACTATAACTTGTCTTAAATATTCCGCAGGTAGGCTACTGTTTAACACAACATATGAACCTGCTTTAATGTGCCCTTCTCTTAGAAAAACAGCATCATAAATGTTGGAGCTGGAGAAGACCTTTGAGGATATCCAATCCACATCATTCGTTTACAGAGGATAAAACAGTTCCCGAGAGGATCCGGGGGCACAAGGAGGTACCGTTAATCACAGCAGCCTGCAGACTAGAACTCAGGCCTCTTGATTTTAAACTGGTTTTCTCCTTTATCTCAAGCTGCCTGGCCATCTTTGTACTTTAGCTAGTGTGAAGGGAAGTGAAAAAGCAAACAGTAAAGTAAACTAAATAAGATAAAATGGAGCATAAATATTATTGGATCTGAACTGTCACTCATGCCTCACAAAATGACAGGTACAGATACTTGAAAATCACAATGTTAACACGGATTCAAATCTTTCTAAACACTCACCATTCATTTTATGGTTTGTTGAAAGTTTAAAAAGGAAAAAAGACTCAGCTTCAAGTATCCTAAAAATGAAAATCATAAGAAAGTACAACTCCTGTAACATCTCATGCCTCACTCAGGGTCTGGTGGGGCTCAGAGTTCAACAGAATGCCCATCTGTAAGCTGGATTTTTAGGATCTCCATAAAATAGGCTCTGTTTCTACTAACCCTCAAATACTCCAGAATCATCAGGGGCCAGTGAGGTTCAAATAACAACCAGGGTCTAACCACAAAAAAAAAAAAATAAAATCCAACACATTAGATTGTTTATGGACACAAACTGGAACCCCCAAAACAGCAGTATGTTGAAAGGCAGTTAATCTAACACTCTGTCAACCCAAGCCCTGACTGACCAACATCTCTAGGACAGCAACTAACTAACCCGTAGGGGAGGCCTTCAAAGTGATTATTGTATTTAAAGTCTTTGGCTGTAACCAGTACCCTGTATCAACCTGATAATCCTGTTTAGCAGTTCCTAAAACATGACAATCAAGATTTTCCTACTGCATAAGGATCAGCTAGTTTCTTTTGGTCCTCAAATACGGTCAAGTTCACAAACTCTAGCTCCTGTTACACACTGTCTCTCCGGAGCATATCCTCTTTAGTGCCCCCTTGGTTGTCCTGGATTCCCTTAAGGAGGACACGTTCAAGTTTCCATTTTATCATGCCCTCTTCCTTTCTTGGGAAACTTTTTTAAAAAGCATACAGGTAAGGGGTGCCCGGGTGGCTCAGTTGGTTACGTGTCTGCCTTCAGCTCAGGTCATGATGTCAGGTCCTGAATTGGGTTCCCTGCTCACTGGGGAGTCTGCTTCTCCCTCTCCTTCTGCTCCTCCCCTCCACAACCCCCCACTTATGCTCTCTCTCTCTCAAATAAAATCTTTTTTTTAAAAAAGCATAAAGTTAGAATAATATTATAGCAAGTTTATGTACTAGGAGAGATGGACAATTACCCAGACCCCCACTACCGTCCTATTTTATATTCCTTTCTTGTATTTTTTATCAATATACTTTTATTTGTAAATAATAGGGCACACTATTTCCTTTCCTTAAAAAAATTAACATTACAGGCATATTCCCATAGTGCTCACAGCCTTTATGATTATCATGAAAAATGGCACACCCTTTAGGTGGATGGATGCACCTTAATTTAACCACTTCCAGGTTGCTTCCAATTTTTCCCTATTAAAAATATTTCCAGGACGCCTGGGTGGCTCAGTCAGCTAAGCGTCTGCCTTCAGCTCAGATTGTGATCTCAGGGTCCTGGGATTGAGCCCTACATTGGGCTCCCTGCTCAGTGGGGAGCCTGCTTCTCCCTCTGCCCCACCCCCATGCTTGTGCTCTCTTTCTCTTGCAAACATAAATAAATAAAATCTTAAAAAAAATAGTTCCATGATTGATGTATTCATATAGCTTATATTTGGGCTTTAAAAAATAATATTCCCTGAAATGGATTATTAAAGGGGGCATTTATTTAGTTTTGTTATTTTATTTTAATTCTAGTATAGTTAACATACAGGGTTATATTAATTTCAGGTGTACAATAGTGATTCAACAACTTAAAGGGAGCATTTAAAAAACATCTTAAAACGATTTGAAACTTAGAGAAAAGTTGTAAGAACTCCACACACCCTTGACCCAAATTCACCAGTTTTTAACCCTTTGCCACAATCTATGAAGAAACATTTTCATACTATTAAAATATCCTGCCCCTCATCCACCTCCCTCTCCCCTTGAGCTAAAGACTCAGCCATCCCGTCTTTACTCCAGTGGTTGCAACATGGTAATTTACCAACTCTGTTGCATGTATCAGATGCAATGCTGCTTGGAGGAAGAGGATCTTAATACATACTGCCAAATAGTTTTATAAACAGTTGTAAATGTACAAGATCATCCATAATCTGTGAATTTTGCTACACTGTAATAATCCTGCAAATTTTTCTTTTTTGTTAACCAATCAACAAAAACATGTGTTACTGTTGCTTTAGTTTACATATCTTTAATTACTCCTAAGGCTGAACTTACTTTTATTTATCCAATTGTACTCTCTCTAGTCTTTTTTTTTTAAAGATTTTATTTATTTATTCCACAGAGAGACACAGCGAGAGCAGGAACACAAGGACGGGGAGTGGGAGAGGAAGAAGCAGGCTTCCCACAGAGCAGGGAGCCCGATGCGGGGCTCGATCCCAGGACCCTGGGACCATGACCTGAGCCGAAGGCAGATGCTTAACAACTGAGCCACCCAGGCGCCCCTCTAGTCTTTACTCTATATAAAATTGTCTCTCCATGTACTTTGCCCATTTGGAATCTAAATGTGTCCCTTTATTTATTTATGTGTGGTCTTCATTGAATGATGATATTAACTCTTATTTAATGCAAATATTTTCTCAATTCACTATTTTGCTTTGTTTCAAGTTTCTAATTCCATACAATAAAATATGCTGCGCTCTTCTCCTGTGATTTGTCCTTGAATACTTGATAAATATTTAATTCTATTTTACTATACATTTTCTAAAATAAGACTCTATTTTATTCTAAATTTTAAAATTGCTTCTGAGTTTGGGAACTGCTGCTGAGTAGTTTATACTCTGAATCTTACTCCTAATGGGTAGCCAGGTAAATGGGCCATAGCATCACACCCAAATATGGCAAATATTGCCTTCAAAATCTAAAAAGGCTCAACAAGCACCATGTCTCTTCTTACTTGTGGGTTGTGCTAAACTACATAATTATCAAATTAAATAAAAGATGGCAATGGATTGTAAAAAAAAAAAGTTTTTAAAATGCTAGTTAGACCATCAGATATATTTTTTGAGAGTTGTGTGTCTAATTTTGTTTTTCTCGAGTGACAACCAGCTATCCCACGTCACTTACCCAACATCATCAAACTATATTGCTCGTATATTGTAGGTTCTATCTCTGGCCTATCTACTGTTTTATAGAAATATCAGATTTTTTTTCATTGTATAAATACGTATTTAAATACATATAAAATAACATCGATCATTTTAGCCATTTTTAAGTGTACAATTGAGTGGCATAAAGTATTTTCACATTGTTTTGCAACCATGAGCACCATTCCTCTCCAGAACTTTGTCATCTTCCCCAACTGAAACTGTCCCCATCCACACTGTAGCCCTGCCTCCATGTATTTTCAACTTTCTCTTGGGTAAGACTAGTCCCTCCTCATTACTTTTCTTTTTAGATTTTATATTCTCGCTAACTTAACCTACCAAATTCACCTTAGTCTCCTTTTGTAAAGTTAGAATAAAAATTTGGTTGGGGTTGTATTTGTGGGGAACATAATATCTTTTTTTTTTTTTTAAGATTTTTTTTTTTAAAGTAATCTCTACACCCAACATGGGGCTTGAACTCATGACCCGGAGATCAAGAGTCGTGTGCTCCACCAATTGAGCCAGGCAAGTGCCCCGCAGGGAACTCATATCTTTATAAAATTTAGTTTTCCCATCCAATAACACAGTCTGTCTCATTTGCCGGTCTTCTTTCACGTCTGTGCAAAGTTTTGTGCCTTTTTCATATATAGCACTTGCATTTATCAGGATTATTCTGAAATAGCTTTTTGCTGTAATTCTGGAGGTGTGCTTGTTTTAATACATTTTTGTACTGACTATTGCTGACAGACAAGCTCTAGAGTTCTGTATTTTTATGGTGGGCTGGGTCATTTTTACTGAATTCTCGCAGTGTTTTAGAGACACATGCTGAATTTTATCAAATGTCTTTTTGGCATATATGCCAGTAGATGATCATATGTTTTTGTTTTTTTTTTTAAGATTTTATTTATTTGACAGAGAGAGAGACATAGCGAGAGCAGGAACACAAGCAGGGGGAGTGGGAGAGAGAGAAGCAGGCCTCCCACAGAGCAGGGAGCCCGATGCGGGACTCGATACCAGGATCCCAGGATCATGACCTGAGCCGAAGGCAGACGCTTAACAACTGAGCCATCCAGGCACCCTCATATGTTGTTTTTTAATGGACTGATGAACCGCATTATTTTGAAGATGTCAGAACACCCTTCTTGGGATTCACTCAACACCTATCTGTTGAGCACTTATGAGGGGCCAGCCCTGTGTAGGTGCAGGCAGTGGATAAACCCTGCCCTGTTCAGAGCCTGTTTTCTAGTAATCTGGAAAATCAATTTGACCCTGCTGAAATGTTCTAAAATCGTTCATGTCATTTATT